TTTTGAAATAATCTGTTTCAAGAGTCTTTACTTTCTCAAGTTAGGAGAGGAGCCATTACATTATCTCTATGTGCTTGTTGAAAGCTGAATTGTCTGAATGCCAAGCTTCCATGATTTCTCTAGTGTTCTCTAGTGCTTTTGAACTTTCCTAGTTAAACTATGATTAATTCTATTCATATTTGTTAAATGAATCACTGCAATTCTTAAGTTAGTAACCTAATTGATAAGTGAATATGGTTTCTCCCTTGATTTTGCTTTTCAGAAGGTCACAAAAGATAATCACATAACTTTGGAATACTGCAGCCATCATAAATATGAACGAATTGCCAAGCATCTGAATTTTGATCACATGACCATGGCAATACTGCCATGGACGTGTGAAAAACGATCATAGATTACATATTTCAGTGCCGCTGTAATTTTGAAAGGTCACTAAATGAATTGTTGTAAGTTGAGGACTACCTCTACCTATTTGTTCCTGCTATGCAGATTTTAAATTTTATTTTACATTTTTCTTTCACCACTTTAAGCAATATGTATTTAAATCTCTGCAAAATATATTATTACAACTAATCATATAACTAAAATCTTAGTTGATATAAGTCAGAAATTAAAATTATTTTAAGCACAATTCACTAATGTATGAATTATATTTAGTTATTGTCTTCATTCCTGAACAACATGAAATTAAATAATTATCAAAGTTTTTAAATATACACTAATTGCATTGTTTTCTGTCTTCCATCCTTCTCTTTATTTCAGGGGTTTAGATTATTTCAGGGTTTAGACCTTCAGTGAGCTAACTAAATATGAGAAGAAAGCTAGACTTATCTGACCTGACTGATGATGAAACTGAACATGTTATTCAAGTAGTCCAACGAGATTTTACCCTCCGCAAAAAAGAAGAAGACCGACTGAAGTAAGTATTAAGGCAAATATATTATTTAGAAATTAGAAAATTGTTTATTTGTTACTATGCATCTCCTGTTTTATACTCTGAATATACTGCATTATAAATTAAATTCTTTTAGACACTTACAAAAACAATCCAGTAAAATGCAGATTCTAAGGTTTGCAAATTGGTATCAAGTTTTACCCACACATATTTTGTTTTCACTCAGAGAAACATATCCTAACAATTCATATTATAGTATCAAGAGTTTTTTTAAAAGCTAATCATTCAAGCAAGATCAGAAAGTTATTTCTACCATTAGTATGATTTCTTATGCCTCTTTGTTCTTGGAACGTGATATATATAGTATATAGTAATAATTTTTAGAGACCGGAAGCAATGTATCCTGTCCTTCCTAAGCTACCGGTACTTCTTAAATTATTTGGAATGTTTTACCAACTACCTTATATCTAAGAGTTTTTTTCTCTTTCTCTGTCTCTTTCTCTTTCCCTCTGGTTAGAGACCAAATATAGCAAATGTCCTTAGAAATATACATTCATCAACAGTTGGGGATAGGTTGCACAGTAATTCCTCTTCAAGTATACACTTAGTAGCAACATTGTGTAGATTGCTGCATGTTTGATACAGTCCTTAGTGTATGCACTAAATGTTCTCTTTTTCACAGCCGCCAATAGTTTTCGTGATTTCTGAACATTGCTCAGATTGACACTGAATTTAATTTAATTGAAAATTAAATAACATTTATATAGTCAGAATTGTTTTTAAGGTTCAGAAAATCAACTCCCTTCTGATACAAAAGCACTGTTGTTATGTCCTCTCAGTTTAAAATACAATTTGACATATAGCTGTTAATATGCTATGTTATGTAATTATGCTGCATAATGAAAATATGTGCAGTACTGGGTTTTTTCAGTAAATTGTAGGGCCAAATGTGGAGTGATATGAAGATATCAGTAGTTTTTAAAACACAAATTATAACATTTATTTTAATTGCTGAGTTCAAAAAATTAGTATCACTGATAATATGTTTCATATTCTGCTATATAGTATTTTTCCACACTTCAACACAAAACTAGTAGCATTTTAATTTTTTTATTTAAGCACTTTGTTGGAAAAGGATGGGAATATAGCTGTAGACCAGGGATGTCAAACTTGATTTCATTGAGGGCCACATCAGGGTTGTGTTTGACCTTGGAGGACTAGGGTGGGCGTGGCCTGGATGGGTGTTTCACACAGGCTCAAGATGCATTTTTTCCAATTGCATTCAAAACAACTATTCCAGACAAAGGGAGATTTACTTTCTGTCACAAATAGTCTCAATTCCATAATGTAGAGTTTAAGGACATATAGGTTGTTTAAAGACAACCTAAACAACATCCATGTTATTATATTTATATTTATTGGGTTGAATGATAAATTAACATGTAGAACCTTAAAGTACTTTTAAAGAAAACAATTCATTTCTCTTTAATTCATCCATATCTCCTTTCTTGTCTTCTTCATGTATTAATCCGTCTGCTTTATTTATGGCAGTTTTCCATCCCCAAATAACAAAAATGTGCATTCTTTGTTATTGCTTGGGCAATGTAAAGTCAGGTTTCCCTTTTCCCTGATGAACCTGTCCTTTGAAATATTAACTAACTCTATGTAGAATATTTTAGCCGACCCTCCCATTTTTCATTTTTAATACAGGTCTTGAAAACATTAAAATTATATTCCAGATATCCATTGTAAAGAGGAATACTGTATAGCACAACAAATTCATCATAATATATTGCTAAATTTCTGGACTCTAGAAAGATTCAGAAAATATGCATACTGTGTGGAAACAATGGAAGTCCATTTGGACTACAATTGGCTACACAATTAAATCTCACTGATTTCGCTGAGTTTTATGCATACTTGACAAAAGCTGCCTTCTATCTGCCAGATTTATACACTATCCAGTCATAATATGATTTGATTTTGAGCCTGTGTGTTCTGTAAATTCAGCCATTTGTGCTTTACAGAGTAAAACACAATTTAGAAATAACCACTGGACATTTTCCCATGACATACTGAATTTTTAAAAAAGCTTATATCTTGTAGATACTACCATATCCTACATCCAACCGTGTTCTGTATTTTTAGTTTTTAGGCTCACTATATTGTTTACAAACCATTATGGGAGAGATAACACAATTCAGTTGTAAGTCAAAACTAAGCAAATTACATTACAGCCACAGATAAGTGAGCAAACTCTTTAGATTAGGCTTCTTCCATATTTTAAAACTGGATGAAACCAGGAAAGCAGACAACCGGAAGATAGATAGTGTGCATGGGATTGAGAAAGAAACATATAAATGTCTCCCCGCAGCCTGTTTTCAGCCGCCAGGCTACTGTAGGAGGCCAGAGGGGGCGAAAACAGGTGAAAACCAGGCCGAAAATGCCCCCCGTGGCCCATTTTTGGCTGCCAGGCTGCCAAAAACAGCCCCCCTATGGCCCATTTTTGGCCGCAAAACTGCTGTATGAGGCTGTGAGAGCTGAAACCAGACCAAAACCCCTCCCCTCGCCTATTTTTTTTTTTGAGAACTTTTTTATTGTTTTAATTAAACAAAAACAAAAAAAAGAATCATCTTTTGTTACATCTTGTAGAAAGCGTATTGATTGGTTATAAATACGTTCCGTGCATTTCTTCCACAATCCTTACATATACTTCATTCAAATTGAATTGTACATTTTAAGTCAAAAAAGAAAAATTATGTATTTTACTATCCCTGTACCACAATTCTCATTTAGATTACCATTATTTAAACATGTTTTTATCTAGAATCATTTGTATTTAAAGACACAACCACCTACTGGCATTCATTTGCAATTTCAATAAACCTCCAGTAACATTACATCTTTATGACATATTCTAAAACAAATTCAGTTAATTAAGATATCTAAGCATCCCCCCCATAACACACCTGTTTGTATCATTAAATATTATACA